TCATCTGAGTCCAGATGACATTATCTGAGTAAAGAATCCGCTCCTTCACTAGGCCAAAGTCTTCTCATGCTTGACTTGGTTCCCCCCAAAATGGCTGCAAAAAGATGGCTAGAATAACTTATTCACTGATTTGTGGAAAGTGCTGGATTGCATATTGTTTTGAAATAAAAGCTGTATAGCAGTTCCATATCCTCCAATTACATGTCAGCAATAGTCCTCCTAGAAATACAGCCCAGAAATAATGGCACATCAGATGTCAAATAAGAAATCAATGCAGACCAAAAAATATAAGACAGTTGCAAGTATTAAACAACAAGTCACTACCGGGTTTGTTTTGTAAGAGGGCTTCTTTGATTTTTTTCTTATAAATAGATTTGATTTTTTCTTATAAATGGAGAATCACATAACTGCCCAAGGCCTTGCTTCTTGCAGCTAAAACACCTGATGCTGGTTATTGTTAGACATTAGAGAAGACAGAACATTTCAACATACTGAAGGGTTCCAGTGCCTTGACCAGGCCCTGTAAATTGTCAGACAGTAACTCTTGAGCAAGTTATATGTGTCCCTGAACTACAAGCCTGGAGTCAGGTCTGGAGGTTTGGGCATACAGGTTTTTGTTAACTGACTGCCTCTTTCTACTCAAAATAATTTGCATTTTCAATGAACACTTTCCATCTCTGCAAGCTACACTTGAGGCACGGATCAGAAAAGCCCATTTGTTGAGTAAAAGATGGAGCTATACTTAGCAGAGAACTCCCATTTTCAAAATTTCAGATTTTTTTAATTATTTTTTTTTTTTTTTTTAGGAAATGAGTTAATTTAATTTTTAACCTATGCAGACTATGAAGATCATCTTCTAAATATGACCTGACTATGAACTGAGATAGTACTATACTGGGAGGTTTGCCAGGGGATGGCACCGATACTGCTTTTAGGAAGGAAAGTGGGGTAGGATTTTCCAAAGGCTCTTTGAGTCTTTTACCTGCTGGAAGAGGAGTATCAGTGAGATGACACGTTAGATCATGCATGGCAAGAAGATCTGTATGCAGCAGTGTACTAACACCTATACATGAGTGTTTGTCTTTTGCAGCATGACGATTAAATTCAGTAAGGCAGGCGGATGTCTAGTAAGCACCACTAACCCACCTCCTGCGTGTGTCCCAAACATGCAGCTTTCAGAGCCCAAAATGCAGTTTGTGTCAGGGTGGCTGGAAACCTCTAGTGCCTTTGAGGCAGCCCTAGAGGCACTTTCAAGCAGCACCACCCAAGAGGTCACACAGAGGGTTTGTTGTCCGTTTTCTTCATAACAGCTGTAAGCCATGATCCAGAAACGCTCACGCACTCTATTTCTGTCATCCCAGTAAAAACTTCTGTCCTTCCTGTCATCATTCAAAAGGGATCTTTATATGAGACAAGGCTATCAACTTCTTGCAGCAAGGCTGTTGTACTTCAGAAACAGAGCCAGCACCACCCCATGATTAGCATCATTGAGATTACCCTATACAAACCATTACTCAGGAGTAATATTTGGGTTTAGAGTTCAGCTGCTACCTTCATACCATCAGCAGATACCTAGCCATCAGGACAAAATCACAAACAGCTACCATGCACACACAGTTTTTATTACTGTCATGGTTTAACCCCAGCCAGCAATTAAGCACCACGCAGTCCCTCGCTCACCCCCCCCCACACCCAGTGGGATGGGGGAGAGAATCAGGGAAAAAAAAAGTAAAACTCATGGCCTGAGATAAAGACAGTTTAATAGGACAGAAAAGGAGGCAGCGGGGAGGGAAGGAATAATAATAGAATATACAAAACAAGTGATGCACAATACAATTGCTCACCACTCACTGACCCGACAGCCAATCCCCGATCCATGGTGCCCCCCGGCCAACTCCCCCCTGCATGACATCATATGGTATGGAATACCCATTTGGCTCATTCAGGTCAGCTGTCCCGGCTGTGTGCTCTCCCAGTTTCTTGTGCACTCCCAGCCTCTGCTGGCAGGGCAGTATGAAAAGCTGGAAAGTCCCTGACTTAGTACGAACACTGCTTAGCAACAACTAAAACATCAGTGTGTTATCAACATTATTCTCATCCTAAATCCAGAACACAGCACTGTACCAGCTACTAAGAAGAAAATTAACTTTATTCCAGCTGAAAACAGGACAATTCCACAAAATTTTGTTGTCCCGTTACTTTATCTGGAAACCTGGCAAGGCTGCATTGCATTCCTAAGTCCTACAGGGTTAAAAAAAAGGAAAAAAAAAAAACAAACAAACCCAAAGAGTTGTTGTTGACCACAACCAACAGCTACACACCACATGACTCAGGTTAATAAAAGCACACACCCTACACAATGCATCTAACATCTACCCTGCAGGCAGAAAGTCCCTGTTCTTTCAGTATTGGTTTCCCCGATATTTATTTCCTTAGCAGCCCCAAATTGCTTCGGAACCAGTTTTCACAGCAAAGATGAGAGGTCACCGCCTTTTCAGAACAGCTCTGAACACAAAGATTACAGGATTACATCAGCGTTCATCTTGGCAAAGATACTATGTGCATCATTAAATAGGGATTTTCCACTTTGGTAACCCTGTGCCAGCATTTGAGCCCATGCACTCTTAATAATGAGTTTCTCATTACAGTTTTATCCAGTTTTTATCTAACTTATTTTTCTTGTTCCCATCAGAGATTATAAAGAATTTACACTTTACTTGAGATCCCATTATGTGAGAAGAGTATGGTACAAAAACAAAGTGCAAGCAAAAATATTTGGTCCTTGTAGATAGATGTCACAAAAATTATCTCCTTATCAAGAAAATTGTTAGTTTGGTCAATTTTAAAAACTGTTTCCACAAAACAGATCCCACAGAAGAAAAGGAATTAATGTTAATTTTCATTTGTCTTTAAAGTCCTCAATTTAAGGACATAGTTTGACAAAACACATGAAGTACTTCTCCAGGTTTCAACTACATACCGAGTGAGAAAACATATTCTGGATGCAAATCTTGTATACCTGCAAAGCTCAGATTACTAAGCACCCAAAAGCGTTAAATAATTCCTTCACTTAAAGTCTCTTTAGAAAACATGTGTCATTTGTTTTATGTGCATTAATGTAAGAAGGTAGTCTCAAAAGTTATCTCATTATAAAGAAAACGATTTTTACAATCAGCCCTGTAAACTTAAATTCTTGTTATTATCTAGCAATGAAACCTGTCTTTGAAAATGAAGGCTGAAGAAAGTAACCATACTATCATTGTTACATGACTTTTGTTTTCTTAATGGCAAAAGAAAGGCAGCAATTAAAATAAACTATTTGTCAAGGTCTGTGATTTCATTTATGTAAACTAAGCAGTTACATCCTTTCTTTTTATAAGATCCTCATAAAATGGTAAAACCTAGGTTTATCAGAATATAGAGAATTTGGCAGGTTCAAGGAAACCTCTAATTTACTTGGAAAACATAGGAATTCTTTTATCTCTATTCTGATGTTCTACAAAGCACAGCAATATCTCAGGAATTAAACCACTAAGTGTTGTTAAAAGGGCATAAAGAAACAGACAAAAGAAAAGCATCCCTAAAGGTCAACAGAACCAGTAAAGATAGATTACTCCTTTCTTACTCTGTAACACATTAATCACTAGGGGTGGACCAGTCCATATTAGCTGTATCAGCTCTGACCTCCAGCTTCTCATCCAGTTCCCCTCTGCAGGTCACCCACAGCCCCAGAGCAATCTAAAGGCGATAGCACACCTAAAAACCCCACCGCCAATCACGGGGGCAAGAGCAACTGCTGCATCCGCAGATAAAGACAGAGGTATGGCGATCGGTGTGCATCCTTCTTTGTACAGTGCCAGGGGTCATGCTGGGTTAACACACACCAGCCAAAAGAAGTCCCAAAGCATAGGGCAGAAGTAAAGGGCAGACCAGCTAGAGGACCTCAGCCTGGTCTAGCACCAGCTTTTTCTTCAGTGCTTACAAAAGTCACAGAAAGTCTGTTCTCCAGCTGTGTGGCTTGTTGCAGATTTTGACCTGTCCTGAAGGTACAGCCAGAAACTTTCACAGACACTTCATTCCATCATTGTAATTCCTCTTTAACATCAGTTAGCAAGAAATTCCCTATGTTGCCTTCAGGACTCTAGAAGGCAAGAGCAGACTGGCTCATTGTTTCAGCTTTGACTAACACAGTAAAATCTGGTCAATCGATCACCCCAGGGGAACTGATGATAAGAAATAGTTATCCATCAGTAATTTACCTGCACCCAGGCATGCAATTTTTACAGATATAATTTCATTCCATATTGAGGCATAATAGAAGTTTATTCTCAGAATTTCTAATAATAGTGTTTCTGTCATTATGAAATCCTGTGTGAAATTTGCACACTATCTGGTTCATGGTATGATTATACAGATTAATGCTTACGGTACACTTTGCTAAAAAATAATTCAGAGCACTCACTATTTAAGAACTACTGTAAATGCTTACAAAGGAGGAGTGCAATTATCAGAGATTTTTCCTTTGTCTTTATAGAGGCAGTCATCACCAAAACAGAAAAAAAAAGTGCAAAGTGGAAGAACTGATTACTTGTACCTTTCAGAACCAAAGAAACCTGAAAACTATCCAAAGATTTGAGACTATCAAGTTACCTCGCAAATGCTATGGAATATAACCAGTTCACTCCACCACAGGCATTACTGTTGTTACTACCATAATTTAAAGTTTTTTGCACTGTTGCAATAGAATAGTTTCATCCGAGTAGATAAGGCACTAAGATTTGATGTTTAAGGACTTGGACTTCAAAGATGAACATGAAGTTCACATGTACTAGGAAACTACAGCAATTTAGTGCTATTACAACATCTTCTTTAATGAAACAATCAGTAATGACTGTAGTTTCAACAAATTATCAGGCAGCCATCAAAATATCTGATTTAAAAACATATCTCAGCTTAAATAGCTTGGAAGTTTTTGGAAAAATAAAATCTTGAATTCCCTTTCATTCTGATCCAGCATTTGGCCTCCTCTTCAGCTTAATCCAGATGCCATTATTTGGACGAAGAATCAGTTCTCCAGTTGTACCAAGCTCTTCTGGCTTTTGACATGAGTCCACCCAAAAGTGCCGCAGGATGAGGGCTAGAAGAGCTTTCTCCTCCATTTGTGCAAAGCGCTGACCTATGAATTACAGGGCAGCAAAAAAAAAGATGTTATTGTCAGGTTGCATCAACAGTTGCTGCATTTGCATGCTCACAGCGATACCCCTAGGAACAGAGGACAGCAAAGACTGTGCATCTGCCCTGAGAACAGAACTGGCTTTAGGCCAAAATTGAGGTCATATGGATACTACTGAAACTAGCACTTTTCTCTGCATCATAACTCTGGCCTTCCTGGCACAATCCACAACATGTCCTCCTTCCCATAGTATGCAGAACTCAAACAGCAAAGAGGAAACACTTCACATGGAACTAATACAAAACACAGCCTTGTCATGTCTCTTGGATGGACTAGGCAGGGAGGAATGGATGACAGACCAGAGCAGCAGAAGATGCAGCACGGGGACTGCAAGGAGAGACAAATCCCACTGTTCCATATAGGCAGAGAGGAGCAAAGGAGATACAACTGCAACAGAATGACAGACAGACTTTCCTTTAAAGAACACTAAGCATCACACACACTGATCATTTGCTATCACAGAGGGCAAAGTTCAATTTACATTTCAGAGAAGGGTGGAGGAGGAAAGGGAAGAACAGAGAAGTATGACTGAAACCAAACCAAGTGTCACAATCCAGGCAGTTCACTCAAACTAAACTGAAAATGGGAACAGGACACAAAACCCAGTGCTCAAAACTTTTTCTGCGCTCCCCTCTGTATAATATGCACAGATGGATGTCTGTACACATGTACACAGTGGTGTATTTCTGCAATAATATTAATGAACCAACTCTCCTGCACTTGTTCCTATACACCGAGGAATTAGCTAGACATGTAATATTAAATTGGATTCCTCTTTGGAACATGGGAAGACATGGTCTGCTGTTTTTATGGGAAGGGCACCTATTCCCAATGAGAGAAATTAAAAACAAACAAACAAAAGAGCCAACCCTGCCCCTCAAAAATAAAACAAACAAAACCAAAAACCCAGAAGTTGTAGTATTTCCCATTCTTGTAAATGGCATGAAAATTGCTGAATGTTCCCCATCTGCACTTAAGATCAGTGCAGGGAACAGTCTTCTCCTGTGTTGTAAAATATAAACAATGATGCCTCTACTTTGAGAACTGATAAATTCTAAGTGTCCTGGTGGCACTTGAAGAGCTAACAAGTTCTGGGATGGTAGTAAAAACACCAGAGCAACAACGGTGTCAGAAAGAGGGGAAGGATACATCAGTTGCAGACAGCATGTTTGGGACACCCAGCTGAGATAGATTTTTCCAGAGCAAAGCAAGTGCAGGACATTTGCCTTCTCTCGCTCTGTCTTGCTGACACTGAGGATCAGAAATTTGGAAGCAATCCTGTTCTAACACAGGAGCCCATTAACATGCTGCCAAGCTGCACAGGCAGTGAGAGGGAAGCATGATAGACATTGGCCTCTGGGAAGAAAGGAGCCCTTGGGAAGAAACAAAATATGTCAGCTCAAGCACCAGGCTTGCAGGGGAGACAGTGCCCAGAATTCAGAGGGGATGGAGAGGGGAGACACGACCAGCAGGCACATAAAGACTTAAATTTCTCATACACTCACTGCTGCCACAATTACCACACCAGAAGCAGCACTGTCACATTTCAAGGGCTTACTCTTCAGCTACCTACCAATGCAGTTCCTGGGACCAGCTGAGAAGGGCACGTAAGCATACGGGTGCCTTCCCTTACAATTTTCAGGGAAGAATCGCTCAGGCCTGAACTCCGCTGGGTCAGGGAAGCTCTCGGGGTCTCTATGCAGGGCATAAGTTATGACAAGAACATTTGTGCCTTTTGGTACCTGATATCCTTCTAAAGAGAAAAGGGAAAGGGAGAAGAAGGGTCAAAACAACAGCAAATAAGTGACTTTCTGTACACAACAGCAAAATTAAAAAATAAAACAACGCTGCCCTTTACTTGGGCAACACCTCCACTGAGGAGATGCCAGCAGGATAGGAAGTAGCAAACACAGGACACTACTTACTAATACAGCAATCCTCTCTCAAGGCACGGGCAAACATCGGAACCGAAGGGAAGAGCCGAAGGGCTTCTTTCACAACACACTCAAGGTATCGAAGCTTCTTCAAATCATCTATTGTAACAGGACGCTCAGTGTTGCCTGTTCAAAAGCAAATGGGGATGAGCAAGACCAAAACTCCCCATTTTTGGTGAAAAGCTCATTCCAGCTCCCTCCAGAAATGCTCATCATGCACCAAGACCACATAGAAGGTGCTACACATACATTGAACATGCATGACTTGCCCCAAAGCCGTAAAGTTGGCTGTACTCTCCTACAGGCCTTCCAGCACCCATACCAATCACCTCTAGCTATTGAAAGCTCCAGAAGGGCCACAAGGCATGTTCCTACCTCCCCTTCTACATTTAGGCTTATAATGTATCACATCCCCACTCACAAATGGAAACACCACCACAACCCCAATGCAGTGGGAACGGAAACGTACCAAACACCTCATCCAGCTCTCTGTGAACCTTCTTCTGGGCTTCAGGATTATGTCCAAGTAAGTACAGGGCCCAGTTCATAGCAGCTGCTGTTGTATCATGGCCCTAGAGGTACAGATTTACAAAGACACTCACTTCAACACCATTCCTGTGCACAAGTAGGCTTTGTAAATACTTGGGTGTGCAAGTAGTATGGAAAGTGAGATTTATTAGTCCCATGACCACGAGAAAAAAATCAAGAGTGAAGATATCTATCAAACATGCTGATTATCAGGATGTAAGATGACCCATGATTCTGTCAGGTGCCTGAAAACTGCCCAAAATGGAAAAGTGTTGAAATAACCCAAGCAAACAGCGCTCTCTTCTGCCTCCCAGAAGGTGCATCAACTACCAGTATGTACACAATGAAACAGATGTATATTCATGTTTTCGGTTACTGTCCAGTCAACAATGTAACATCTGGGGAGGCAACGACTACCACGGGAGAAATACAATGGACACAATCTGTAACCTTTACAAAACTATCCAAAAAAAGGTACAAAACTATCCAGAAAAGGGTCTAATGAGACACAGTACAGTGGCCATAGGAGGAAATACTTCTTGGCTTCCTATGAGAAGGGGGATCAGCTACTACAGTTCCGGGCACCACATAACAACTTGGAAAGGAAAGGAAACAAAGAGAAGGGGAACACACAAAAAAGGGTGGGGTGGGGGCAGGGAACAGAAAAGGGAAAAGTTGACCAACAAAGGATTTTGGTACTAAAAAGGAGCACTTGTGAAGTTCAGGATACTGTACCTCTTCAAAATCCAGCTATGGAGTAGTACAGGAATGGTAAAATGGGAAGAGGGTTTCTTTAGGTTACAACAGCAGTAATATGACTCTGAATTAAGCTCTTCTGAGATAGAATTCAGGTCCACCTAATGGATGTGTGTGGAAAACTTGTGAAAGTCTTGTTGAGATCCTTCATTGGACAGGGCACCAGGCACAAGATGACAGTACCAATGCACAGTTGTTGACAGAACCAGGAGGTTACAGCCAATGTGGCAAGGGACAAAATGTGAGGAGAGCTGACAAAATGCAAAGCAAAACACTGAAACCCTTTAGAGCTCTCTTTAGCAGTAATGAGGTTTGCAACAGGAGCTGAGAGCCCATGGCCCACATCAGCCATTAAGCTCTTATTACGCACCTGCTCTCATGAGTAGAGCCTGCTCACATAGGCAGGGCCTACCACATGTGTATTGCCCAACATTTTGCCAGGGCACACAATTCTGGCTCAAATGTTTCTATCCTTCAGTAGTTTCTATCCTATAGAGATTTCCTTTTGGGCTTCCAGGACTAAAATAACTTCATACTAAAAGCAACCTCCTGAACTAAGAAAAGGAGGAGTCTCCACCTGTAAATGGTGAATCTTGGGTTCTGGGGGAAAAAACAAAATAAAACAAAACAAAAAACAACAAAAAACACAAACCCAAACCCACCAACAACCCAAGGTTCCTTGGGTACCTCAAACATGAAAGTATCCACTTCCTCACGAATGTCCCTGTAGCTCAATTTGTTCCCTTCATCATCTGTTGCACTCAGCAGCATATCCAGGAAAGCTTTTCTCTTTTTGGAGCCACTTTCTTCATAGTTACCATCAGTATCACATTTTGTTTGCTTGGCGTTTTCAAGTTCTGCAGCTTTTTCTGCAATGACCTGAGATTAGAACCATTATATTAGACATGATGCATGCAGCACACACGCACAGTCTACGTCACACAGATTTGTCCCAACTAACTAAAACAACAACATACATCTGTAGCAGTCTACATGAGCTAGTTAGCATAGCTCTCAGCATTAGCTTATGAACTTTAACTGACTTTTTTGTGTTAGTAGGTGAAATATGACCAACCCCTCTTGTCCCAAGCAATAGAATGAACCCTGAATAGCCTTTGTGTGATCAAGAAAATAGATAGCCAAACTATGCAAACAACTTGTTGATCCTCAAGTAGTGTAAACACATCCAGAATATCTGGAACAAGCCAATCGTGAATGCCAACAATAGTGATAGCAAATCAAAACCATCACTACAATTTGAACAGACTGATCACCAAGAAGATATTCTCTACCCTATACAATAACTAAGGAAAGGATCATATCTCCAATCTCTGCAGAACCCAGGAGATTAAAGAGAAGCCAGGGCACCCCACACCCTGCATCAGGACTACACAAAGCACAGTTGGAAACACTACACTAAAGCTTCCCAAATTTTCTTCAGTATGAAAGCAATGGTTGAACTTCCCTTTTGTAGGTCAAAGAACAGCTCCAGCAACAGACAGAGATTTCCTGCTGTCACCACCATTGTCATAACAGCAAAACAGAACCCTTCAATAAACTGGTATTGCTCTCAACAACAAAATAATTAAAATAAAGGGTGTAGAATATGTAATTCTGTTCAGAGGAAGCACTGAATGGGGGAAAAAAAAGTAGTTTTACACACACACACAGTTTCCCTCACTGAACATACACATACAAAAGCAGATATTGAACAACCTTTTGTCTCAGTGCATTCTGTCAGCACCTACACTAGGTGATATTATTATTTACTGTTCCTTTGTCATCTTCTAAGATTTGTCTTCTTATATCCAATGCAGCAGCACAGCATTGGAAGAGAGCAAGTGTTACCGCAGGTCCCTTTAAGAGCCTCTCATGACTCACTGATGCAATTCCCAATAAAAGGAAGCAAAATATGAATTACTTAAAACCAATGCAGAGTCAATGTGGCTCATTATATGTAGTGAAAGTTCAGAGATTATTTCCTTTGTTGTGGCATTGATACAACGACATTGTGGGGCACATACACCTATTTCGGGGAAAGCGGCCTCCCTGGGAACATTCTAACAGTAGACTTGGGAGGGCAACCATTGGCAAGAACAGCATAGAGCCTATTTGGTGAGAGAAAGGGCTGTTACCTGCACAGTCTAACACGGTGAGACAACACTGCGTTTTATGCTCTCAGTGACGTATGCCTAAAGGTTTCTGTGTCAAAGTGTCTTATTGCTGAGGTGGGGACCTGCATGTGTTTGCTCATCTCAGCAGTTCTGCTCCAAATAGGGGAAAATGAATACAGGCTTCCATTTCTGAGGGCTGGACCAAGGGACATTACCAAGCAGAGAGCCCTATGCTTACTGCTACAAACTTGGCAGTGAGCTGTTGCGATTCAGATGTGGAGCATCTGGGGCAGAGCAGGAGTTCAGTGAACTCTTGTTCATTTCGGTTGTCAAGGACCTGTAAGTCCTGTTACTCCCTTGGAGTAGTATATTTCCTTGCTTAAATATGACAAAGTTCCTGACAGAGAAGTCAGCTGTTGGGATGCCAAGGAGTTCCCTGAAAAGAACACAACAGAGAGAGAGCTCTCCTCTTAATAGATGCATATCAAGGGAGTTGAACCTCACCCCCATTTGGAAGCTCTCTACTGAGTGCAAGACTTTGCTCCAACAACTAGAATGTACTGTTAAAAATAATAATAATAATAAAGAATCTATACTGTATCTGTAAAATTGTGAAGGATTTTGAGGTTCCTCTCATGCTCTCTTCCTTCCTTGAACAGCATATATACAAGATCAGGCCAAAGCCAAGGGCTCTTCTGTCTCTGTTGGATTAGATCACTCATCCTAGGGGCACAACAATTACATTATGTAACATTTCCTGACAAAAAATACATTTACAGCAGATTTTCAAGAACCAAAAAAAGTTCTACCTCCACCAGTGAAATGGAGCTTAACATATTGTGTGGGTTTAAACCCATTCATCTGAAAGGGAGGATGTTCATATTTGTTTCCTGATTTTAAACCATCTCAAAATTTCTGTAACTTGTCCCAGCATCCAGCATCACCATGATTTATATCTTTAAGCACTGAACTCTGAGAAGGACAGCATACTCTCATTTAGTGGAAATCCTCTTGAAACAGACATATTAAGTCATCCAGTCCAGTCCCACTCCACATCAGTAAAGCACTGATCATGCTGAAAAGATATGTACAACGTGAAAAGACTACGTGTTGAGGACTCCAAAATATCTGCTCTATGACCTCAAAAAGTCATCTAAAAGCATTACATTACTACTTGACTATCCAGGTACCATATATGCCAGACTGCACATGAAAAGTATTTGAAATAAACATTATGAGACCTCAAGTATGCTCAAACACAACTGGAGTACATCTGGAAGGGCTGATTGTCATTGCTATTCAGCTCTTGCACATGCATTTGGCTGCAGAAAGAGACTTTGAGGAGAAATTATTACATTTAGACTGACCTCAGGCCAGCCCACTTGCAGTACCATTTGGGAAAGGCCAAGGAACCGATGACAATCAAACCCTCTAATTCCACTCCTTTTTTGCAACACATATCTCAACAAGCCCCATTAAGGCTAGGGGTGAGAAGCCACAAACAGCTGACCCACCAGTGTGGCAGGAATATAAACCATGCTTTGCCTAATCCACTGGACAGTCACATAGAGTTTGAATGGTGTAAATACTGCCGTGAACTACAGAGCAGAAGTGCCTCAGCTTTAAAACGCTGTCTAAAACACCACCCTTTCAATTCTGCCAGTCACGCTGACATGAAATGTTGCAGCTCTGTTTTTTTCTAACCTCCTGTACCAATGGATTAACTGTGGCAGCTGACCCCTCTTCAAAGCCTCAGCCTCCCATTGCATATACTCATACCAGAAAAATGCATCAAAAGCTGCAGGTTTTCCTGCCTTCTTGGCTTTCTACCTCCACCTGTGACCCTCTGGCCCTCCCTCCTGGCTCACAGCAGATGAACCCCTGACACCAGCAGCATCAACTCCAGCCCAACTACAAAGTAGCCAAGGAAAATTTCCATATACCTGTAGATAGCACGAACATACTCAGAATCCTTATTCTCTTGAGCACCCACATTCTTGCCCATCGCCGTTTCTAGGAGGAGGAAATCATCAATGGTTCACAAATGCAAAGTAAAATGCAGAGTCCCAGTACACAATAGGTTACTACTGCTCCCAGTCTCTGACTGTCACCACACCATCCTTTCAACAGGTAAATACACACATCCCATTTCAGGTGATGAGCCGACTACATTTTCATGCCCAGGAGCCCTGCCCATCAACACAAGCTCGCTTCAGACTGCTACCTCTGCCCTGCCCATCCCACAAACTCACCTGCTCAGATGGACACAAGACACCCTAGGAGGAAGGATGACCTTGGGAGGATGGAAATGCATTCACGCAATATGCAGGGACATTCCTCTTCAACTGTCTCCTCACACAACATGGCACAGCTGTACTCATGAGCCTCTGCATCATTTGCAGCCACACCACAATAACTGAAGAGGACTTACCACAGATGATATCAAGGGCACACAGAGTGATGTAAAGAAAGACATCAAATGGTTCCTTGTCAACATGCTTCTCAAGTTTCTCCAACAAAATACCTCCTTGTTCATTCATAACCTCTAGAAAGTCAGTTAAGATCGCAAAGTGGAACGTGGGAGTTATCATCTTCCTCCGTGACCGCCACTTGTCCCCAGTGCTGCAAAATTAACAGGGAGAATGAAAGGTTAAAAACTCCAAGTCAAAAATAAAACCCTCAGCATCACAGGAAGCACACAGTAAAAGCTGCAGCCTGGAACACCTGCACAGATGGACACGCTGTAGATGACTCTTCAAGCTGTCCATAGCACTCCCCACCCAGAAGGAGCAAAATGGAAATATTTCTTGCTCCAGCTACCTTCAAAGCACAAGCCACCATTTCTATAGCTGCTCTCAACAAAAGGAGGTGCCAACAAGCCCTCAAGCAATACGGCCTCATGCTTGCTCAGTGCACAGGCTCAGAGGGAAGCCATCTGTAAAACAAACCAGCTATTTAGCACCAAGACCTCAAGTCATCACACTGTCTCTGTGAATCACCACCCATGCTTGCATTCAACCCCTGACTAGGAAATGAGGATTGCAGAGAACTAGGGTCCACAGACATTACGCAATTAGTGCCTCAAGGTCTGGCTGCAAAGTACTTCCTTGGAGAGAGGCAACCACCTCCCACATGTCACTGAAAGAGCATGGAGCCACAGCTGGTGACACCAGCTTCCTGGGAGTTCTTGTTCACTTTTTCTGAATCACATGCCCCACAGGCACACAAATGGAAGCTCTGCTTACAGGGTAAACCATCACACCACTTCTCCTGTTAGCCTGCTATGGACCATGGACCTCAACTCTCTGCACTTTGCTACTGATAACTGCCTTCTTAAGGGCCATGAACAAAACTCAGGATAAAAGGTATTCCTCATCCTCTCCCATAAACTTGCGCCTCCCCACACCACGTGATCACAGCTGGCTTTCACGACACCACAGTCCCATCACAAAGCACGAGGAGTTCACCTCTGAGGGCTCCAAACAGGCAACAAAGCTCCATTGCTAACAGGGGGACCTTGACCTTCTCGCACAAACACAGAAGAGGTACAAAGGCACCAGAGCCACTCTATGTTCACCTTGCTCTGACTCTTGAACATCTGCATCATCCAGACCAAACTTCCCTTGACCCGCCCAAGACCACAGGACACCAAGCCCTTACATCACTGGTCCCCCCTCTCTCCACTCCTGACTTGCGCTTTTACCCAGGCTCACTTCTTCCAAGCCTCCACTTCACGAGGGAAATGAAGGACAGGGTACAGATACTCTCCTATCCCACCCCAAAGCATCACCAACCTCAGACTCATCCTCCTGGTTGCAGCACCACCAGCTGAGATGATAAGCAATGCACACAGTCACAGTTCTGCCACAGTCTGACCACTCGACACATATCACAACATTCAAAATATCCAGTGTATAGCATCGCAGACTGAAAGACACCACTTGCCATAGGATACAACTTCCCAAAACACATTCATTTTAAGCCTCTGGGCAAAAAAGTAACAATGGCCAAATTTGCCAAGAAACAGATAATGCCAAAAGATTTTTATTGGGCATTAGCTGCTAAAGAGCAACAAAGACCATCACAAGCAATAAGACTTCTACAGCTATCACCTACATCTCTGTCCAGAGATATACGCAGCATTCCTGCCCCCAAGCCCCTTCCTATAATATACCCTGCAATTTCAGAAAGACAGCAATGCACCTGCATTTCACTATACCTTGTCAGAAGTCCAGTGCCCAACCACGGCTGCAGGAATTTGTACAGGTACGATTTTTCTATGTGTTTTGAACTGCTCAGAATAACCTGTCAGAAAAATTAAAGCAGAGGAAAAAACATCACTTGTTGGATGGAGAGAGATTTCTTCAGATGAGATTACTTCACACAACCTCAGTTCCTCCACAAAAATGCCCTGAGCCTCAGTAAAATGCACAATATTTCAGTACAAGCTGGTACACAGGGGAAACATTGAGTTCACACCCTCAAGTCTTTCAGTAAATATCCCAATCCTGAGAAACAATGAAATACACAAAACCTACCACCCCCACTCCCCTTATCTTCCTGAAAAAGAAAAATCTGTGTTACAAAGTCACAGGCAGAGCTCAGAGAAAACCCAACGGTTTCCAGCCTTAACCAAACTCACAGGAAGTACCATCTCTTCAATAAACACTCCAACAAAGAAACAACTCTATCTTCCCAGATCAAGGACAATCATTGTCAATAGCAAAACTAATGACTACATTTCATGGCATCAAGACACACCAACCAAGTTCTAACGCAGAAGCCAGTCAAACAGACACAAGCATTGCAACCTGCATTTCACAATGTTCTGTCCCTATTTCAGTGGTCCCATCTTCCCTGCTATCTGCTTGTCCATTCTGATCTTGGGAGAAGGAGCTTTCACACATGTGAAAACAAAGCTAAAGGAGATGCTTCTTTGTATAAAACATACTGAGTTGGTGGTTTCATTTGCTGGCCATCTTATTTATTTTTTTTCCAAGACTAGGCTTTTTATATTCTTCCACTTTCAGCCCTTCTTTAGTACTGGGTCAGAGGACAATCTCAAGTAAAATCAGACCAAGCCCTTTTTTGCAAAAATTACATCGAAAGAATAGAAACTAACAGGTTGGACACTGCTTTGCATGACAGTAGAATAGACAGGAGACAAGAACACTCACCTCCACATTGTCAGGGTGATACAAAATCAGGACAGGTAACGGTCCTATCCAAATTTTGAGCAATGGCCAACTCCTGAACTCTTCAGCGTAAACTTGTAGTTGTTTAAAAAAACCTGGAATGAAAATAGCATATTAGAATTTTTTAAAAAGGGGGTTTTGCTAAAGCAAGACTTCTGTAATGAACTCTTTTTCACCATATGCCCTGTAATTATGTTTTTGTTGTAGTTCTATCTTGCTACTATAACAAAGCAGCATATTTTGCACCTAGCTATTAGCTGTACTGCAAGACCATTTCTTTATGGCTGCACTCTTGAAGGCACTCTATTCTAGAGAACCCCCTCCTAGCTGTAGATAAGGCAGCTTGATTTAAGCAGTCTCAAAGCACTGCAGCATGGGCCTTCTGCATTGCAATGCTCTTTGTAACAATTAGAGCCAAATCAAAATTTATCAAGGCTATGCTTACATTTTGGCTTATCTGACACTAGCCAAAATGCTGTATCAAGATGCCTCTTTACTTTCCCAGTCTCAGCATTTCCTGTCTGAGACCTCATTGACAGGTACTACATTTGTGGTGCATACACAAGTGATGTCATGCGCAGTAATGGCAGAGCACTACACAGGAACCAGTAACACTTGAAATGTCTAGCTTCTGATAGCTGGACTCCTGAAGAAAATCTTTGGAGCCCTTACACTGTCATTGTTTGTCTACAAACAAATTCTTTCTTACTCCAACATGCTTAAATTCTCTAAATTCGCTAACAAAGGAGATTAGAGACTCCATAGAACATAAGAGCCTCCATCAAACTGCTTTCTGGAGAGAGAAGCAATGCTCTTTATTGTTTTGGTTTTTTTAAGAAGATTTAAAAAGAAGAAGAAGAAGCAAAAGAAAAAAAGATTTGTCTTTCAGTCAGGCTCATATACACATCCTGACTATGATCCTGCTACTGCTTCCCCGAAGTCAGCTTCAGGGAAAGCTGCCTGCCCTTGCTTCCACCAAAGAAAGATATCTCATATCTCTGTTTAGATATGGGGTTGGATCCAGAGGAAAGATGCGAGTGTGTACCCTGGCGAACAGAGGGACCATGTCTCAGCATGTGTCACTACTGGGCACTGTGTGCGCCCATGCTGTACTCGTCCTTGGCTTCACCACACTCCCACAACCCAGTCGCTCTCTCTTCAGGCAGCATACCTGGCAGCACAGCCAGTAACACATGTGCACAGAGCAGACTGGCATACACAGGCATCACAAACACACCCAGAGGAGTCTGCTGGTCCACTGACAGCACAGCCACAGCCACTTTCACACCACTGACTCCTCAAGAAATATGCTCCTGTGCAAAACTGAGTACCAAACAGAAGAGGAACATGTAGCTCATTAGCAGTCTCTCAAGTACCTGGCAAAAAGAAGGTACCATTGATCAATGTGAGAACAGACAGGTTTGCTTTTGAGGGATGTACTGCAAATAGTCTGCAAGTTCTTTTGCATCTAACGCATAAATCTAAGGCACAGTTAATTCTGAAACTGACCCAGCAACTCAGCATGCTGAAGTCCCTTGTACATGCTCACTTGGGGGAAGATAATTGTTTAAAGAAGTATTTTTCCTTTACAAGCTAAAAGCTTTGTTTGGATTGCAGCTAACAGCCATGGGGACACAGTGCTCTGCATTGCGAAACTGCACTTCCTGCAAGAGTATCCACCACGCCTCCCTGTCACAAAAACATATTCCACGGCATTCATGTTCCACCTCACCAACAACTGGAAACATGTCCCAGTCCAGCATCTGGAAGCCACTATCAGATTGAACCTCGAGCTAATCTTTGACCAATAATAACGCCACATTTATGCAGTTCCTCTCCTTTCCCCTCTACTACACACTTCTCACACAGTTCCCCTCTGCAGATCGCCCACAGCCCCAGAGCGACCTAAAGGTGATGGCACACCCTACAACCTGCCCCAGCCAGCCGCAGCTCCATCACCCAAGCACCTCACCAGTGCTGGCTCCTCCAGCAAAGCCCCATACAGTGCAGGGGCCTCATAGCTGGGCTGCGGCGTGAGCTGCCCTTACCTTCTCCCTCCCGCTCCAAGAGTAGAGCATTTCCCAGCAGAGGATAGCAGGGGCTGATACCCGGGATCGGCTTCGTCACCCACCATCGCCTCCAGTAATCCATCAGGGAGGGCAGGCAGCAGACGGCCACAGCCGTCAACAGCAGAGCGATGATCCCAGCCCCCAAATGCAGCACCTGGGGTCCCCCTGCGGCTCCCTGCATGACCTCCATCACCACCTCCCAGCCTCCTGCTCCCAGCCCTGATCCCTATCAGGGAACCGGCACTGCCTGTACCCACAGCGGCCGCACTGCAGCCAGCCGAGTGTGCCGGGACCCAGCCCACGAGAGCGGGAGGTGGAGCTGTCACATGGCCCCGAGGCACAGCTTCCTGCCAAGAAAATAAACAAAGATATTAAAAAAAAAACCACATGTGGAGAGGCTGTCTGCAAGCACTTCCGGACGTCAGAGCAGCCCCGGAGAATCGTGCCATTTCCCTGCCCTCGCTTGGCTCTTCTGACTCGAGTGAAGAGTGAGAAAGTTCTTCGCAGGACCGTGCAACGCCTCAGAAGGAAGACACAAACTGCTGTCAAGAGAAAAAACACCTTTTTGCTGATTTGGGAAGGATGGGTTTTCCCAACATCATCTTTCTCCTGTTTTCAGGTGCTCAGAGAACACCACCATTTTGCCATACAGAACTGCTCCAGTGCTCTCCAATGCGATGCCTGAAGGGTTTCAAGAGCTTCAGATGGGCAGTACCTTTCTTCAGTTGGGTTGATGACTTCGAGGGGTTACACAAACCAGAGCCCATACAGGCCCACAATTCAAGAGCAGCAGTGCAAGGCACACTGATGCTTCTCGGCTCAAATGGCCTTTACTGATCTCACTGTCAAACACTCAGTCACAGGCTAAAGGGTGCCAGTAACACGACTGGCAGCACCAGCACCTGGGTCATAACTTGCAAAGTGCTTGGGTAGAAGTGGTGCCATACCCACCGTATATCCTGCTGCCCTTCCCACCTCAGGAGGATCCAGAGTCCCTTCCTTCTGCTGCAGGGCTGCTGAGCACCTGCTCCTCAAAGCCTCCAATGCTCAGAAACCTTGTGGTCAAACAGAAGTTCGGTGAAAAGACAGCACGGCTCGCACCCAATTTGCAAAACTTCACCCCCTGAATATACCACAAAAGCTTTTTATAGCCATAGCCATGTTTCTCCTGTCTGTTTTGTTCCAAAATTTACTGCACTGACTGCACTGGCATTTTTAGTAAACCAACAAACAGCGTAAACAAAGCAACTAAGATAAGAAACACAAACAGAGAAAGCTCAAAACGTCAGAAGTTAAGAAAGGGCTGATGACCCTTGGCAGCAGAGGGCAGTAAATTTTGGCACTTTGTTCCTGCAATCTGCCAGCAAACACTTTATCATAAATGCTGACTGTTGCATTTTTCTGCACAGTAAACATCTGGAAATGAACTTTGCTGCTCTTGCTGTTATTTGTAATGGTTTGTGACAGAAAATAGCAGATACATATTCTGTCTTGCAAACACACGAGACAAGCTACATGGCCATCAGTGCCCTCTTTTGTTCAGGTGACGCCCCAGGAAGGAAGTAAGCGTGCAGGATTGAGGCCCACCTTTTGTCTTTGTAACATGGAGATCAGCTGGGTAATTTTACTCTCTTTATGAAAAACCTTGCAGGTTGTTGCCTTCATGGAGCTGATAACCAGATGCAGTGGTTAATTGTGATTCTGCACTCTGCGTTCCTAACTGCTGATAGCTCCTTCTGCAGGAAAAAACTGAGAAACGGTGAAGCAGCAGGAACAGGGTGAAAAGCCACAGGGAAAGCAGTAGGGAACACAGCAGAACAAACACTGCAAAATCCTGCCAGCAGCTGGCAACAGTGATGCTGCTAAAAAAAGGCAGTGGCTACACTGGAATGAGATGTAAAAGATATACCCAAGAAAGAAGAAATGAGAGGCCTGGCATCTTTGAGGCCTAATTATGTCACTGAGACTTGCACCATTACAAACCCTGGAGGATGTTCTGTAGAAGAGGAGTTTTCTACCAGATTGTGATTAGCATTCCTTTTTTACTTGGAGAGCTATTTGCTCAGTGTTGGATTTCAGCAGGCACTCCACTAGTTAGCGAACCTTTGCTTTTATAAATGCATGAAAATCTGCTTTTACTCAGCCTCTCACCTAAATGGAAGCCTATCTGCCTGTGCTGACAGAAGGCACGCATCCTGTCAGGCAGCTATGTCAGCCCACAGGCACAATGGCAAGGCAGGCTTGTGGTGGTCCCTAGAA